TTAGTAATGACAACAAATTTTCCATATTGCAACCATTTAAAAAAGCGTTAAAAGGTTTGTCTTCTGTATCTTCTCCGTAGTTATATAAAGGAACATCTAGTATTTTTTTAAACCTTCAACAATCATGATACGATTATCAAAAGAAGCAATGTGGGCAAAGATAGGACAAGCCAATTTACTTCTATAACATGCCAAGTTTTTCTTGCAATAATCGTGTGCCAATCCGTAAACTGTACCTGAAAAGTGATCATCATTAATGACCAAGTAATCTTCAAAACATGATAACAAACCGTAACATTTTTTTTACACGTCATCTCTTTCTTAATCATCTTGAATCAGTTCTTTTAATGTTCTATTTTTTTAAATTCTCTGTTTAACGGTTCCAACATACAATGAAATCATAAATGAGCTGACGGATGATTTAAACGAGACATGAGATGTAAAAAAAAATAGAATCTTTTATTCCCATCCCGCGTTCATATTTGCAATGCACGTTAACTTCGTTGATACATTTTTGAAAAATTCGAATTATAAAATAAGAATCTTCCAACAATTCCATAGGATCGTTTTCAAACCATATGTTAATTTGTTGTTCGTTCATAACGAGTTGACTTAAACATTTCATATGATCAACAAGTTCTAACGAGTTTATTCTTACATAATCACTTAAAAAATCGTTTGTTATAAGAGTGCGGTCAAATTTTTCCCACCATCTGCAACAAATATAAAACAAACTAGATATTTGAAACAAATCGTTTTTAGTTTTCTCCACTTTGTTTGTTATTAAATAATCTTGCGTTGACGGTTTAAGAATTAACAATTGTAATTTACTTACTCGTTTAAATATATAATTTACAGCTTGAACACGTTTGTCTTTATAAAATCTAATTTCGTTACGATTTAATAAATTTATTTCTGGTTCTAACATTGTAGTTAATTTATAACGGTATATATCAGATTTACGAATTTTGTCTGCTGCCCATCTGCATATTGAACACAAAAGATTTTCTTTTTGCCATATTTGACATTTTTCGTGTTTAAAAAGGTTTAAGTTTTGAAAACGAGGTAAACATTTTTCGTAGATAAAACGAACTAAAGTTGCAGCCAAAGTTATTAAATCATATACTCTCAGTTCGCTTTTATATATTTCAACATTTTCGTCATTTGCATCTAATTTTTGCCACAATATTTGACGATGTGTTTTATGTAGTAAAGAAACATTTTCTTGAAAACATGTAGGTAGTAATGTTAAAGGATTCGCTTGCAAACTTTCAATTGTGTTTTCATAATAAAATATTCAATGTGTTATAACTTTACCTCTTTCATCTAAACCGAAACATTCTCTAGCTAAATTTTCAGATAAACAATAAATAACAATGCCGTGACAATAATATGAAAGGTCTGACAAAGGTTTAACGTGTTCTGTTTCTTTTAAATTTGATTTTTGAACACTTCTTTCACAGTCAAAAGTAATAAAAAAAGGAAAAACGTTTCGTAAAGTGTTTATAAAACTATCTTGAAGTTCATAAAAATGTCTAGTTTCTCCACTGACAAATTTGTCTGCTAAATAAAATCCTTTACATTCGTGTTTATGACTAATATGAGTATATTTGAGACCGCACTCTGAACATTGATATAGAAGTTTATTGTTATATATAACGTTAAAACGTTCGTTAATCATGCTGACAGCGTGAAAAGATTGATTTTTTTTGTACAAACATTTTTTTATTGTATTTTCTGTTTTTTTACGTTCGTTAGCTTGTTTTCTTTCGTCTTCGTTTAAAAGTTCTCTCTGAGGATTTTGATCTTCTTTAGTTATATTTGCACTCTCGTATACCACTTTTAATAGTTCGGAAAGTACACTTTTATATTGCGATTTCATTTTAGGGTGTAGCAAACGAACGTTTTTACTTTTTTTATTTATCGAAAAAATTTTAATATTTATTGGATCTAAAGTGTTTTCGTATGCAAAAGAGTGACACAAATCAACGACTTCGAGAAACAATAAATTTTTACTTTTTTCTTTTAAGTGACTTAATGCGTGTATTCACGAATCGTTTTGATCTTCGATAAGAAATTGCATTGTATTTTTTTCAGAATAAAAACCTTGACCGTTTTATTGCAATACTTTTGTATTCCATTCTTTAGTTGGGTTTACGTTCCACTTTCTTAATAATAACGAAATAACAAATGCTGAAGAAAAACAAAGACCATTTTCAAACAAAATACTATAATCTAAAAACATCTTTTTTTTTTAATCGCATGATAATATTTTAAATGAACTACTTTTATGTTTGTTCCAATGAGTTAAAGAAGGAGGACGATACCATTTTCCGTACCATTCGTCTTGATTTTCTTCTCGTATGTACTTGCGACCTCGCTTATAAAGAATTTTGTTTTTATTTTTAGTATAATATTTATTTTTACCATTTATTATTTGTTTTTGATTTATCATTATTTCTTCTGGACTAAGTTCAGAAACTTTTTTCTTTTGTTTATGATAATGTTTACGATCACTCTCTCGTCTCATCATTAATTTTTCTATACTTAGCTCAGAAACTTTTTTCTTTTGTTTACGTTTACGTTCACTATCACGTTCTCGTCTTATCAATAATTCTTCTGGACTAAGCTCAGAAACTTTTTTCTTTCGTTTATTTTTACGTTCATATTCACGTTCTCGTTTCATCAATATTTCTTCTGGACTAAGCTCAGAAATTTTTTTCTTTCGTTTATGTTCATGTTTTCGTCTCATCATTAATTCTTCTGGACTAAACTCTAAAACCCTTTTATATCCAGCAAGTTCATAATTTCTAAGTTTCACCATTGATTTTTTAGTTAAATTGCCTAATGTTTTTACTTTAAAACTAGATAAACAAATTAATTTCCATCCGCTATCATTTTCCAAAATGTTAAAAACTGAACGAATGTTATTACTTTTAATAAATTGTGATTTTATTGATCCTTCTAGTGGTTTTATATAATATACAGGCGAATTGTAACATCTTTTTATAATTTTACTATAACCGTCTTCTGTAGGTTTAGCACAAAGTGTTATAATATTATAACTAATTATAAAATTTTGAAATAAATTAGCATGATGACGCTTTTTTTGTTTCAAAAAGAAAACTATCTTGTGTTTTTTAAATAATGTGATGAGTAATTTCTTTAGGTGTTTGAATTTGATCGTTTAGTTCAATTTCTTCAATAAAATCTTTATCTTTATAGTTGTCATTTACAAAATAAATATTTTTCGATAATAACTTTCGTTTTCTAATTTTTCTTCAATATTCTTAATTTTAAAATGTATTTTTATTATTAGTCTAAAAAAAAATTTTATATATAAAAAACCCAGACAGCCTCCCGCTAGCGGCCCAATGCTGGCCCAGTTCCGCTTGCGACTACGGCGCGATGACGGCCGTCGATCACGGGCCTGCATCAAAACGGCCATTGGGCCAGCACTGGCCCGCTAGCCATGGGCCAGTATTGGCCCGCAATCGTTCGCCAGCACTGGCCTGCGATTATTTGCCAGCACTGGCCCGCGATCGCTTGCCAGCATCTGTTGACAGTACTGATCCGTGATCATTTTCCAACAATCTTTCGTGTTTGCGTGTCAGCTCTAAAGCGTTACTTTTTACTAGATACTTTTACTACATACACTAGCACGTTATTATTAGCCGTTTCCGTGAAAATGTGTTATTCCATAAAATTCAAACAAATAAGTATATTTGAAATTTATTGTAAACCAAAAGTGTTTTAATTAATAATGAAATAATAAAAACAAAAACGTTGAATGAATCAAATATTTATTTTTGCAACGAATTTTTAAGATCTTCCCGAGCTTTACGGCCGCCATTTCGATCACCGGAAAGTTGAAAGTATCTTTTTATCCAACGTTCAACCTCTTCAGACACTGCTCCTGAAGTCGAAGGATTTATTTTAACAGCATCTAAACAGTGTGACTACATTGTATATATGGAATATATTTATGTATACATTAGTAAATAATTAAACATATATATATATATATATATATATATATATATATATATATATATATATACATATATATATACATATATATATATATATATATATATATATATATATATATATATATATATATATATATATATATATATATATATATATATATATATATATAAAATAGTTGATATATATATATATATATATATATAAATGTATATATATATATATATATATATATATATATATATATATATATATATATATATATATATATATATATATATATATATATATATATATTACTATACATATAAACATATTTGTGTAAATTATCGTGATTCAAAAACGACTTTTTTTTAAATAGTCCACTGTTCAACCTAATATGTGTTCTCTATAATAAAATTTTATTATAGAGAACACATTTAAGGTTGAACAGTGGACTATTTAAAAAAAAGTCGCTTTTGAATCACGATAATTTATGGCATTAATAACGCTAAATTTGAAGTTTTTTAAACAAAAAATATTTTTAGGGGTTGCAAAAGTACCGAGTTCCTAATATTATTGGGAAAAAAATCAAAATGTCAGCCCAGTACTCAAAAGATGCACAACTAAATGTTAAAAATAATTATAATCAACACAAGATAAAATAAATATATAATAAAACACAAGATTTAAAAATAATTAACATTTACTTTATCTTGTAAGTTAAAAAAAAACATTTTTTTTTTAACTTTATGTGCAGTAAATTTTGAAAAAATAATTTGCATATAGAATGATTAATATTTGTTTTCCAGCACCAAAATTTTAAATCTTGTTTTTCATTATATAAAATACATTTACGTTTGAGGAACGGACTATATAAAAAAAAGTTGTTTTTTGAATCAGCATAATATATATATTTATACAAATGTTATACATAGAATGAAATTTCTTCTTACCCAATAAAACTTTTTTTAAAGGCATTGTTTTCAAAGCAAGCTTATTGTTAGCTCCTGACCAATTTTTTTTTTTTCTATATTGGTGCCAATCACCATTGGAATTAAATTCCAAACAGTCCTCTTAATTGTTGAGCCACCATGGGATGCCAATTTCATGCTCTAAAATTTACATACACATTATACATGATAACCATCTTTGTCTTTCATCAACAATTTTATTTAACTTTGTAAAATACTTATTTAATACTAAACTGTAAATTCAAAATAAAAATACTTTTAAAATGTTTTGTATAAAGAAATAAAAAAACAACGAATAAATGTATGGCTCACACTTACCAGTGCATTCATAACTTTCTTATCTGATTCGATGTTTTCGTTTAATTTGAGTAAGCTTGACTCATCATTTACTGGAATTTCGAAAGGTTCATCAACCAAAATTGCTTCCCTGTTTTGTTTAAGCATTCCAATAAGTTGACTTATTAAGGCATTATTTGTATCTAACTTTTTGTTCAGGTTCTCTACTGAAATAAGAAGCTCTTTTTCAACTGCTGTAAAAATATTTAATATTAGGCTACACCATCTCAACGATTATGAAAAATTTTAAAACTATATAAAATAATAAAATCTTAATCAAACGGAATTAAGCGCTACAGATCAAATCTAAAGGAATTGTTGCCGCAATGCATTTTTCAAGTGAAAGTAAAACTAAAAAACTTGATATATTTTTTAGTTTTACATAATTTGAAGAAAGTTAAATATTTGCGTAAGTTAGATAATAGCATACACTATCGGTGACTTTTCTTATATAAAAAAGTGCTACTACTCTTTCTCGCTATTACCTCGGTTGCAATCGCTGCCAAGAGTATCGTGTCAAACACTCTCCAATGAGCATTGACATCGCTATTATATAATGTGATAAAATATAAATCTTAAAATTTATAAAAAAAAACAAACAAAATGAGCATTATAAAAATAACTCTCAGTATCTCAATTATATGCATACGACTAACCAGTGCAATGAAGTGTTCCTTCGCTCACTTCGGCGAGAATCCGTCTCACAGTTGAACATCCACTTGATGTCAACGAAGATCCTAAAAACTAGAATTAAAAAAAAATAATTAATTGAACAGTTTAATTCAATTTACTAATAGGTTCTTTTCTTTTTTTTTGTAATTCACCTCCCCAAGGCCGAGAAGGCCACTACAGAGAAGGAGACTATGGTTATAACCCTCTCTTAACTCTATAACTCTGAAACACGAACCTTGACAAACAAGGCCGCTGCGCGGAGAAACAAGTTAAGCGCAGTACTACCAGGACGCGGTGGGAATCGAACTTAAATGCATATATGTAAATATATATATATATATATATATATATATATATATATATATATATATATAATATATATATATATATATATATATATATACCCATATAGTGTCGCTTTAAGAGCATTTTAATGTAAAAAAAGTCTCTTACGACTACAAATTTAATTACCTCGTCTCTTAAGCTGTTTTTGATTGTCATCGAAATGTCAAAGCAATTAATTTATGCGGAAGTACATTAAACTTAATTGTTTTTTTAAAAAACTGCAATTATAACGACTAGAAAGTTTTTTTTAATTAGTGGTGTTTTTGTTATTGATTTAATAAAAAACATTTTTTAAACATGCGTAAATGTTGCTACATCGACTATCTTATAGCCTGACTCGCAACGGAGTGCTGCTACATCGACTGACAAATAGCCTGACTCGCAACGGAGTGCTGCTACATCGACTGATAAATAGCCTGACTCGCAACGGAGTGCTGCTACATCGACTGACAAATAGCTTGACTCGCAAGGGAATGCTGCTACATCGACTGACAAATAGCCTGACTCGCAAGGGAGTGCTGTTACAACGACTGACAAATAGCCTGACTCGCAAGAGAGTGCTGCTACATCGACTGAGGGTTTGGTTTGGCCAGGCAGTCTATCAATTAAAAAAAAAAATTTAATTTTTAAAACTTTTTCTGGTCTGGTTTATTAACGCGCTCTTTAAAACTACAGTTTGTGGGAAATATTTTTTGATGCTACGCAAGAGACATGCAAGAGTATATATATATATATATATATATATATATATATATATATATATATATATATATATATATATATATATATATATATATATATATATATATATACATACATAGTCAATATACTAATGAATATAGCAAATTACCACAGAATTGGGTGCAGACAACGGATTGCTTTCGCATAAAGTACTTTTATCAACTACACTTGGTAAATTTGGATGCATGTTTGTGTCCTATTTACAAAAGCCAACTATAAGATTACTTGAGAACATTATGGAATTCAGTTACATTTTAATTGAAAAATATTTAAATGAAAATAGTATTAAAAGTACCTTCTCTTCTAACACTTCCAAAACAGAACCTTGCCTTTTATTTGACTTTAAATGATCTGAAAGAGTTAAATTTTCAGTACTAAATAAAGTTAAAGGATGAATTGGAGGAGCTGGAGCAAGTGTCTTTTTTTTTTATTCATAACTTTCTTTTGTTTTTTTAATAACTGTTGAGTGTCACTTTCTGAACTTGATTAGTCAAAGTTATGATACGATACATCTCTGTAAAATAATGAAAGAAAATCAACATCATGATATGATGATCATCATCTAAATTACATATAATCACATAATGATCATCATGAGAAAGACCATCACCTGGTAGGGCGAAGACTCTTCTGAATTCTATTTTCTTCTGAATTAATTGAATCTTCACCCTCGTTATTTGAGAAAAAATCTGATGAAACTTCTGCCATAGGTAGTTTTTCTCTCGCTTTTTCATATGATACTAAAAAAAATTGGGGTTTAAAAATCAAAATAGTGAAAAATTGTTTCAAAAAGAAAAACAATTTAAAAAAGCATAAACTTTTAAAAATTTTTGTGAAATTACTAACCAGAGTTATACATGATACTTATGTCATATTCAGTCCAATCATCTCCAGGAACTTCACATTTTTTAATGGCTCTGTTAAGGCGTTTGGTCTTATATGAGCAGGGCCATAGACAAATACCATTTGTTACCCATTTAGCGGGAACAACAGCCACT